CTCCAACAAATCTATCAATTAATGCCACATAAATTGGGACATGGCAAATAACATATATTATTAAAAAAGTAGGTTCAAAATGTAGTATAAAATACAATAATTAACAACTTAATATATTAAACAGACATATAAAAAAGGGTTAATATTTGAAATTCTGCATGTGCCACATAAATTAGAACAAAGAGAGTAATAAATATTATTTTCAAAATTATGTTAAAAAAAAGTACTACAAATCACAATAGCTAACAATTTAAAATATTTTAAAAATCATATAAAATTTTCAATAACTTCTCAAATTCCATAATATGACATAAATTTTAAAAAATAAAATAAAAAATAAAATATTATATATATATATACACGGGGTCCTATATCTAGTATATATATATATATGATTATTTGCCCTCTTTTTATTTTCAGTATTCCTATTATGCCCTTGTTATTTTGTTAGCTCTTTTATTCAGAAGAACCCTAAAAAATTCTTCTTTGTTCAATATTAATTCCTGTCGAAACTCAAGGTACTTGCTAAGTTTTTTTAGTTTCTCAAAACCATAAAAATTAAATCTTTTTCTTCATATTCATGTGGGTTTTAATGTTTTTCCATTTTTCACTCTCTCTGTATGTGTTTTCTTTTCTTCATATTCATGTGTTTCTTTAAAACTTGTTTTGTGTTGTTTGATAAGTAAGCAATAATCATTATTCTCTTTCTCCTTCTCCTTCATTGCTCTCTGCATCTCTCCCGTTTGCCAAAGCTCACACAGAAAGCCCTAATTCCCTACTCCGGAATTGGATAATGGGTAAGGCTGTTTTCTTGTGTTAAATAGTAGTTTCAGCCTTTCCTTGTGAAGTTTGTACTTATTTCAGATGTTTTTTTTTTTTTTTTTGTGATACAGAGAGGAAAAAGTCTCGTAAAGAAAGTAGAAAAGAAGCTCGGACAGCTAAAAAGCATAAGAGGTTTGATTCATGGATCCAACATCAAGTAATTATTTTACTTTTTTCTTTCTTTCTGATTTCTAATTTATCTGTATTTACATTCTAGCATGAATTGCATGAAAAGAATCATTTTTGGGCATGTTATTTTTACTTTTTATCTGGTGGTGTATAGTAAGAGCTTTGGTTTCGAGTTGTAGGAGTAGCAATGTAGAAACATCATGTTAAGTATCCTAACCGTTATATCAGTGTGAGCTCACCTGTTACAGCTTTGGTGGGCAGAATTACCAATCACCAGTGCTATGGATGTGTAACAGGCAACACCGTTGATTAGTCAGGATGCGGCTAACCTGGTCGGTGATGATAGAGGCATAAAAAGCTTTTCTTTTTGGGGAGGGGTTCTAATTAATGATAATGTTCATGAATAACCAACCAACAGCATTTGATAACGCTAATTACTGAGGCAGATTTTATTTAAGCAGATACTTTTGTTTTTGGCATAAGGTCTAACTACTACCACTCATGATAAAGCACATAATTCAACTTGACATGATTTTCTTTCCTGTCAATTGCTTCTGTTTTTGGTCGTAGCAAACACAAAAAACCCGGAGAACGTTGCCAAATTCAAAACCAACACACACTGTGCATTCACTGAAAGATAGCCAAGTCCAAAGGCATGAACATTTTCACTCCTTAAATTCAACGAAAGACTTGGACACTTCTCCACGGGTGGTTGCTTCTAAGGCTGACAATAAGAGTTTGAAAAGGACAGATGCCCGAAATAAAAATTCGATGGCCTCTATAGAGCTCGATATTGAAGTTATGAATGACTTGCAGGTGTCTCCACGGTTGGAGTCTTCTAAGGTGGAAAATAGGAGTTTGAAAAGGAAACATGCCTCAAATAAAAATTCAAAGACAATGGAAAAGGAGGGAGACGCTATCTCTGCGGACGTAGATCTAAGATTGGAGAGGAAACTCGCTAAGAAACTCAAGGTGAAGAATGAGAAATTGCGAGGAGATGATGATATTGATATGTTACTTGAAGGAATTCCTTCTGTAGTTGACTGTAACAGTCAATTGAACGAACCTCTGGAGGGTACTGATACTGACACTTCGCACAAGAAACTGAAAAAGAAGACAGTGGATGAAGTTTTAGATGGTAAACTGGTTTCTGAGGATGGAAAGTTTGATCCTTCATGTGTTAGCTATGTTGAGCATGTCGACACAGATTTACAGACCAAACAAAAAGAGTCAAAAAAGATGAAAAGAAAGAAGACAAAGTTTGAAGAGCTTCTTGCAACTGAAATGTGTGGACAGGATATCTCAGCAGATGAGGATCTGGCTTTGGAAAGGAAGCTTGCGAAGAAGCTCAAGGTGAAGAGAGGGAAATTACTTGGGGATGATGATGATATGAATAGTTTATTTGTGGGAATTCCTTCACTTCTGGATTCTTTTGAGGATGAAAATACACAACTTGTTGGGGAAGCACCTCGAAAGCGTGATAAGAGCTCCTCGAATGAAAGATCTAAAGAGAAAAGATATAATAAGGAAGCGCAAGGAGAAGATCACGATCAAGAGGAAGAGCAGAAAGCTGAGAGCACTCCATACTGTACAGATGTGAAGGCAGCAGCTGGATCTGCTGCCAAAGAAAATGCAAAATATGTTGCTCCTCGCCTGAGGTCATGCTTGGGAAATGATTCGGAAGAGTTCGCTCAAATTCGTCGACGACTAAGAGGTATTAAATTTGGAACACTTGCATTCATTTTTTGCTGGACTTGGAACCTTTTTTTTGTTTTGCAAAATGATCTATGTTTCTTGCACCTGAGGACCATTAAAAGAATCAATTTCTTTCAGGTCTTCTGAATAGGATGTCCGAGGCTAATGTGGAATCGATCACAAGTGAAATTTCCACGATCTACCAGGTATGCGACTTGTTCTCATCCAATATTCTGACTGATTTCTTATCTGAAAATTCTATCACCTAATGCACTGTCCACAATAATGTTTCTTTTGATTGTTTCTACGATTCAAACTAGTAATTTATATTGAAATACCTTTTGTTGGTGTATTTCTTGAGGTTTCAGATTATGATTCTTATTTTTTTGCCCCTACTACTTTATTGACTCTGTAGGTCTGATACAATTGTTAGTGACTTGTCTAAGTGCATTCATTAATTTGAAAGTTGGATCTTAAGAATGTTAATTTGTGTGATTCAGCATTGAGAATACCAAGATCATTTACATTGCTTTCTGTCTTTTTTACTGTTATCACTTATGGCCGTTATGTTCAGATATCTTTAAATACTTATACTTGCCTCTCAGGAATACTTGTCTTGTACTGACATATTGAGATTTGTTTATTACCTTTTCTGACCAATGTGACTATACCTCAAAAATATTTGTTTTCTTGTTCTATTTGTAAATTAAAAATCAACTTACTTGGATTAACACCTAAAATTATCGTTTCCCCCTTGGCAGACTGTTGGTCGCACTTTTGGTTCTCAGATTATCAGTGAAGAGGTTCTGGCATCATGTTCTAGAGGTCCGCGTGGCAATGAGCAGTAAGAATTTACCTCGTCTTTTATCTGAAGACAACTTATCCAGTCTAATTTTCTACAGAAAACTTATTTTTGAATAATTTCTCTAGAGGTTAATTTTTGTTTTTGATATCATAAGAAGCCTACAAGGCATAGAATATATATCCTCTTGTGCAAACATGAGCACTAGTAAAGTAGTAGCAATGTACACAAAAACAAGTTCTCTGCAAAAGCTTTTAAGACCCTTTTTACATTCATTGATACTGAGAGAATAATAAGCAATACATCTCTCAACTTTGGACTACTGAGGAGAGATCTCCAAAAGTAGACCATAATGATCACTAGGCAAAACAGGTACTGTCAGTCTCTTAACTTCACTCTTCACTTTCTTCACCTTGATGTATGTGAGATTTGGGATTGCATCCTTCCCAATCATCTTTACATCACTTATACAGAAATCTTGCAGTTTGCAGGCAATCCTGTCCAGACGTTTCTGTAGTGTCCTGTTGGCGCTTAACATTTTGTTTGACTTGGTGTCGTATGTCCATCCGATTTCTTCAGGCTTCATTTTTCCCCAAGCATCAATCCATCCATCAGTTGGAGGAAATTGACCATCCAATTTGTCATCCCAGTTCCTTGGCTTGCTCCACACGTTCCTTGCTGTACATTTGATCCCACTTGGGTGGCCCAGGGCAAGGACTCTCAAGATGGCTGGTAGCAACAACCAAGGTCATATCTTTCTCAACTTCAATGTCACCAATACAGAGTTCCCTTCCCATTATAGAATTGCTAAATGGCTTGCAACTGTAGGATTTCACTGCAAGTTTGCTCAATTGCATGCAGACGTATCCTCTCGTCAATTCCATCACATTTGAAATGGAACAAGAATACATTTTCCACCAACCAGAGTGATGAAAAATGTCATATATTTCTGGAGTAACCTCCTGAAAACATATAACATCTGGCGTATGCAGCGCAATAAGGTTGCCTATAGCTTTCATCCTCTTGTGCATCTCTATATCTGCAAATCATTCATTGTAGGTCAAGATCTTCAACACTTTGGATTTACTGGTTGAGAAAGTTTTGCCTGGTTTCTGTTCCACCGAATCCGACATGTCAATTGCTTTAGTTGCAGCAGTCTTTACACCCATATACCCCATAGCAGCATCAACCTCATCCTCTTCAACCCCAAAAGGTTCCTCCCTATTTTTCCTCTTGTTTGCCGCATTCGCACATCTAAACGTAACAGACTCCTTCACATCATCTTCAACCATAATAGGAGCCCTAGTTGTTATTTTACCCTTGTTACAAGGCCTCAAAGACAAGAACACATTGCCAACAGAAGAACTCAAATCATCATCAGTTTCAAGTGTAGCAAGTCCTGAAGCTGAAACCCTAGTGCCACATATTTCACAACTTATACTGTGATAAGGGTTCATAAAGGTACAAGCTTTACATGGCCATTTGGGTTTTGGGACTGAAATTGAAGGGTCTGATGAGATTGATAATAGTAATTTCTCTAGAGGTTAATTTGAATCTGGAACTGGTGTTAGCTTAATTTTCTTGCAATATCTATTGTCTAACCCGCAAAGTTACCAAGTTCAAAAAATTCTTGTGTCTAACCCGCTAACATTGCTTCAAGATGCTTGTTTCCTAACAAGGGTTTCACAGAAGCTAAGTGGAACAATTTTTGAGTGACAGTAATGCTAATCAAAATTTTGTTTCTCAAAGCATTTTATTGAAGATGCACCTTAATCTGCAAATCAGCGAATTCTTATTTGATGTTTTGAGAGGCAAAACAATTTGCTGCTGATCTATGATATATTTTAATTATTTCAGCTTATTCTGACCTGCAGAAGTTCCACAGCTGTTGGCACTTTTTCTAGTACCCCTTGAGTCAATGCTGTATTATCTTATTTTTTATGGGAAGGTAGAGAATCTTATTAATAGGTACCAAGAAGGTACTCCAAAAAGTACATCAGAAAGGGGAACATCCTTCTAAATATTGAAGGAGCACAAAAGATCTAATAGCGATAGAAAATCAGATACAGGAGCGCTCCTATACCATAGGTACATATTTTTTAAGCACCTAGATATGACCTGTTGAATACTGTCCTCCTTGTCCTCAAAACACCTATTGTCCTTTCCATCCAAGTGAACCAGAAAAAGCAAGCAGCCAAGCAGGGATAGCAATCCAGTAATGCCTGTTATCATTTGACCTAGACTGTGTGTACCAGCTGCATTGGGGAAGTTTTATGCATCCTGGCATGACCCAGTGAACACCAAAAATGGTAGGAAATATGGTCCAGATATGTCTAGTAAAAGCACAATGGAGAAGTAGATGATTCACAGATTCAACTGCTTCTTCACAAAGGAGGTATCTACTGCAGACGGTGAAACCTCTTTTCTGCAAATTGTCATGAGTTAGCAGGTTTCATGCCTAACAATGAACGTGAAGCAAGCAACTCTTGGTGTAGCAATTGTTTTTCAGATAGTCCTCCGTGGTCAACCATTTTGAGTGACTCCTGTACTTCCCAGGAGATTTTTATAGCACGGTTTGGCAGTGAACTTGCCATCCTTCTGAAACTTCCACCATATTAAGTAACTTATGGATGATCGACGGAGATAGTTTCCAATTTCTGAAAAAGTTATTCATGTCTTCGACTTCCAATCATATAAATTTCTTTCAGGAACAGATTCCACCCTCCATTAGAATAACAGTCTTCCACAGTGCTGTATTGGTTTGTACTGATTGCATACAGGTCTGGGAACTGTTCTTTCAATGGAATTTTATCTAACCACCTATCGGTCGACATTTTCAGTTTCTTCCATTGCCAATTTTCTGCTTACACAGTCAAAGATCTCTTCCCAGAGGTTCCTGATGTGTTTCCGGCTTAAACACCATAGGCTCCTCTTACAATATTCGTGCACCACTCAATTCTTCCATATTTTCAGACACTACATCTTTCCATTGATCATTACCGTTATCATAAACCTCCTTTCAGTATTAGATTCCTATTTTGTAGCTGCAGGATTTTTTGCCCCCAAGCTTCCAAGTTTTTCTCTATTAATAATACTCCATTTTGCCTAATGGATCTGCTTCTGGTCCTGATTTCCCTCCCACAGGAATTTCTTCTTATTCTGTCCAATTTCTTTTCCACACTCTTGGGCGTGGGAAATAAGGACATCATATGTGTGGGGATTCCATCGAATATACTATTAAACAGTGTCAACCTGCCTCTAAATGAGATGAACTGCTTCTTCTAGGGTGCCAATTTTCTTTCACACTTCTCTATCACCCCTTGCCCCACATAAGCATCTTTTAACTTTGCACCCAAAAAGGCATTCCAAGATATGTTGTCGGGAAACTCTCAACTTTGCAAACTAATGTTGTAGCCAGCTTGTGAATAACGGGTCTGCATTAACAGAAAATATGCTATTCTTTGCCAATTCACATGCAAATAGCTTCAAAAGTTAGAATAATTGCTTTCAGATGAAGTAATTGCTCCTCCTCTGCACTCAGCAGTACAAAACACCAAAGTTTCGTCAGTGTAAATGATATGAGGGACTTCAACTTTGTTGCCATGTCTGCCTTGAATGTTAAAACCTTCTACCCACTTAACTTCTGTAGCCGTCCTTAGCATTAGACGTTAAGATTCCAAGTATCCTTGATTCCTAAAAAGAAAGGGGCAATTGAGCTCAGAGATTATAGACCAATCAGCCTTATTAGCAGCATTTACAAGATAACATCAAAGCTTCTGGCAAACAGGCTCAAAACAGTGATTGGAAAATTGGTTTCTGGAAGCCAAAATGCATTTGTTCGAGGAAGGCAAATATCAGATGCAGCCCTCATTGCTAATGAAGCTCTAGATTGGAAAATAAAGAGTGGAGAACCAGGGTTGCTAGTGAAGCTAGACATTGAGAAAGCTTTTGACAAAGTAAGCTGGTCATACTTACTTACTATCCTGAGGCAAATGGGGTTTGGTGAAAGATGGAT